GAAGATTTTTGATGGTCAGGATTGAAGTGAAGGGTGGCATCCTTCATGTCAGCTAGTGAAGGCATAATATCAACGTCTTAGTGGTCAGTTGCAGCCTTTGTCGATTCAAGAGTGAAAATGGGAGGAGATTGCGATGGAGATCTTGCCAGGGCCATGATGTCATGTGGGTAATTATCGATCAATTAAATAAGTCTGCCCATTTCTTACCTATTAGGCAGACAAATCCAATTGAGAAGCTAGCCAAATCATATATGGATCAAATCGTGATGTTACATGGAATGTCGAAGTTTATTGTCTCTGATAGAGATGTCAGGTATACTTATAAATTATGGAAAAAAGTTCAGGAAGCTTTGAGTACTTGATTGACTTTCAGTACATCATTTCACTCTCAAACAAATGGTCAGTCAGAAAGGACTATCCAGATCTTGGAAGATCTACTAATTTTATGTGTTCTTGATTTTGGTGGAGGTTGGGATTTCACATATACATTTAGTAGACTTTCTATAATAACAATTACCAGGTTAGTATTGGGATGGCTCCATATGAAGTCTTGTATGGAAGGAAGTGCGGGACACTCTCATGTTGGGCTGAAATAAGGTGAAAGAAAGATCATTAGAGTTGATTTGGTTGATTATGTTATTGAGAAGATTAGACTGATCAGAGATAGGTTGAAGGCAATACCGGATATATAAAGAAAATAATATGATGCCAAATACATATCTATTGGGTTTGAAGTTAAAAGAGTTTGTGTTTATCAAAATCAGTCCATTGAAGGGTGTGCAACATTTTTGGAATGTAGGAAAATTGAGCCCTAGATTTGTAGATCCATTTGAGATTGTGGAGAGGATTGGTAAAGTGGCTTATAGATTAGCTTTACCAACTCATATGCAGGGAGTGCATAATGTTCACACATTTCTTCATTGAGAAAGTATATTACAAATGAATCCAGTATGGTGATAGTAGACTCAGTTGACATTCAGCCTGATTTGACTTATATTGAGGAGCCTAAATGAATTTTGAAGCATTATGTGAAAAAACTGTGGAATAGAGAGATCTCTTTTGTGAAGATTTTATGGAAGCACAGGTCAGAGAAGGATACTACTTGGGAAAAGGTATTCGAAATGCAAGAAAGATATCCACATCTTTTTTGTTGAGGTATGTTGGTTTATTTTTACTATTTTCAAATTTAGAAGACAATTTTATAAGAAGGAAAGATTGTAATAACAGATATTATATTATTAAAAAAACAAATAAAAGAAAATAAAATAAATAATAATGTGCAGCCATTTAGAGAGACGCTTCTCTTCGGGTCAAACATATCGATATTGTGATCATTGGTTCATTTGAACCATCGAACAGAAGCAAACGAGAGAGATAGTGGGAGAAATCGAAAGAGGGAATCATCGTGAATGCCCTAGCCGAAAAAGTGGGAAGAGGAAGAAGAAAAGATCACAGTGTTGTCTGCATCGAGCCGTGCGAAGGAGAAGGAAAGTGGTCGAGCGGCATCGAAGACTTACCTGGACCGAGCCGCGATCGAGGAGGAAGCTACGGCTTCTTACGCTGGTGCAGTGTGTTGGAGTGCATAGGAGAAGAAAGAGACGTCTACGTTGTGTGATCGCGCAGAGCAAGAGAAGGAAGAAGAAAATTGCGAGTGCTGTTGCGTTGAGCCATTCGAAGGAGAAGAGGAAGATGGGTTGAGCTTTCTGCGGTGCTCGCGTGCTCTGTTGGGATGAGACCATACCGAAGGAGAAGAGCTCGTGCTGCTCAGTGTGGGAGGTTAGGGGGCAGAGGCTGATAAATATAAAGGTAAATTTAATGTTTTAATATATATATATATATATATATATATTAAAACATTATATTATATATAATTATATGTGAAGGTATGCTTATTTAATTAATGAAAAGTTTTATTGAATGAGTATCCTGATATATAGAGATATTCAGCTTGAGAAGAGAAGTTGGTGATTTGTGCAAGTTGAGAGAAAATTGATATGAAAAACTTATAATAAGGTAAACCTTCAAATTTAAATTAAGTTAGTTAATCAAATGTTATATATATATTATAATATTAAAATAAAGTTTACTTGAATCAGGAAGTAATTAAGGTTGAGGAGTTATAATTTTAAAATTTAATGGAGGAAAGAGGAAACTTTTGCAAAGAAGCAAAGCAGATCTTTTTAAGGTAAGAAACTGCATATTGGTTTTTATGTGTCAATTTAAATGTAGATCATTAGATATATGTAAAGCCTTTATATTCTTATAAGAATTTGCACTTTTAATTGGTTTAGGTGTTAGGAAGTGAAGTGAAGGGTTGAACTTATTCAAAAGTTTTTTAACAGTAAAGGTGAGTAATTATTTGCTTATATGTATTAAGTTTATATTTTATTAACTAAAGATTTTTTTGAATGCTTTAGAAAATCATTTTATGATTGTATGCATGTTGTAACTTAAGAATGAAAGGAAATGAAAGAGGAAAGAGAGAAAGAATGTTTAATCATTTAAAATGAGTAATTTAAATGAAATAAAAGGAAAATTAAATCTTTAAGTCATACAAGATTACCCCCAGATGATGTTATCAGAGAATGCAATGTACTCGTGCACGCTAAAGGAAATAATAAAGGGGAGCCTTCGGGTGCAAACTGAGGGTACCTTAGGGTACATTTTTTAGGATGCCTTCAGACATTTTGAGAGTGTTTTCAAACATATTTTTTAAGATACATTTGAGTATGACAGTAATCCTGTTATGACTTTTAGAAATGTTAAAAATGTAAATTCTTAAAGTGAAACAAAAAAGATAAATGTAAGGTTTTAATGAAATTTACTACTTTTTTTTTTCTGATCATTCATGCATAGCATAAACTAAAACTGAATACATGGCATGTAATTTTACTTGTAATTGCTCTAGTGATAGAAGTGTTACTTTGGGTGATCAAATTATTAAAAGGTGTGAACGATTTAGATATCTTGGGTCCGTTGTTCAAAGCGATGGTGATATAGATGGGGATGTTAATAGTAGAATTCAAGTTGGTTGGTTGAAGTGGAGGAATGCTTCGGGCCTTTTGTGTGATAGAAAAGTACCGCTTAGACTGAAAGGAAAATTTTATAAGACGGTGGTGAGACCGGCAATTCTCTATGGTGTTGAATGTTGGCCTTTAAAAGAGAAGCATAATAATAAGTTAAGTGTTGCCGAGAGTGGATGAGTAGCTTTACACTTAGAGATAAAATGCGAAATGAATATATTCGTGATAGGGTTGGTGTAGCTCCTGTGAAGGACAAAATTAGAGAAAATCGTCTTAGATGGTTTGGTCACATTAAACGTAAACCATCTGATGATCCGATTAGGAGAGTAGATGTTTTAGATTCGAGTTGTGTTAAGGCAGAGGTAGACCCTGGAAGACTTGAGCTTATTGTATTAAAAATGATCTTAATTTACTAGAAATAAATGAAAATATGACACTAAATAGGACGCAATAGAGAAAAAGGATTCATGTAATCGACCCCACATAGTGGAATTAAGGCTTCGTTGCTGTTGTTGTTGTATTCATGCATAACATAACATAAAAAATTTAATTCATATTAGATTATAATTACTCACTATGTTTTACTTACAGTTGAAGTTAAATGTTTTCTTTCAGAAGAAAGAAAATTTTAGGTGGATATTCTGATAAAAGAGATTTAGTCTATCAGAGAAGGACTAGGTTTTTATACGATAGTAGTTTTTTTTATTATTTCTTTCAATTGTTGATTTACTATTCAATTTCGGATTGAGAAGTTGTTGCTGGATGATTTAAATATATGTATGGGAATTTTTAAGAATGGGAATAATTATTTAGATATTAATATCATCAGAATATAGTACTGTCTTAAGCTAATTCTAAGCACCGGATCGGGTCGGGTCGGGTCACGACAGACTTTTTCTCCTTTTTTAAAGATTTGCTATATTATTGTGATGGGGTCTACCATCCCTGACACCCAATATTTTAACTCTGGTTTTCATGACAGTAATATGCACTACTGTACCATTCAGATAATTCTTATGTTTTCTTATCACAATAAATCTGAGTGGCATCTTTTGTGTATTATTTTTGGCACTTTTGGCACCGTACGACTATCCTGTAATTTATCTTATCTTGGGTTGTCACATTCCTTAGCATCTCTCTATTATTTACTTTTTCATGTCTCCTTCTATGATGTTATATTTTGCCTATAAGTCATTAAAAGAAATTTAGGCTTCCTTGGTTTCTTTGATGTTCCATTTGACAGTCCCTTTATATTATGTCCAGGTTGATTTTTTGCTTGGTCTTTTCGGGTTAAATTCTCTTTGCTTTCAATTGTTGTTCTTGGAGCATTTTATTTTTCTCATACATGCAGCCAATTTTTTGCTTTTTTTTGTGCTCTTCTATCAGTGGCTATTCCATAGGTTTGAATTTGTGTACGTTGTATTTTAGATGTATCAGGTACCTCCAGCCAGATGTTGCATCTTTGTTTTGGCATTGATAAAATTCCCTTGAGAGAATTTCTCAAAAAAATCATAAAATAAAAATAAAAATACTGTCTTGAAATATACTTTTTCATACATAAGTTTGCAACCATAGTGTTTGTAAATGTAATAGTCAAACTTTAGGTTTTAGATGTGTAAATACATATGAATAGTGTTGCATGCATGTTAATTTCCCATATATATAATAAGCGAACAGCTTGGCATAGAACTCATTCGTTCCTGGTGACTTTGCTTAAAATGTCTCTAGAAACTGTTAAATAGTTAACACAACATAATCTCCTCACACTATATGAGACATCTCTCCTCATGTAACGTCCTGAATTGTACAGTTAGACTTGACTTATTGATGTCCTATTATATCGCCTTTAGAAACTATCTAAAAATGGACTGGGCCAGCAAATCGAAAAAACTTAGAGAAAGAGAGAGATCTCATCAAACCAAAAAGGGCCATTTACAAACACACCACCCAATTCCTACATATTTACATACCAGACAGTTTAAACTTTATTTTTTTACATTTACATCACCCAAAATTTTCATATCACATCAAAATTACCACCAATCCTAACATCTAAACAAGCAAAATACACCCTTTCGCTCATATGTAACGTAGCATGCATGTAAAACTCGAGTCAAAGCATCAGATATGTAAATCCATAAAAATTGAGTGGTATGCATGTAAATCTTCCTTAAAAAAAAAAAAAAAACCTTTTGGTTCAAGCTGAACTCATCCATGTCTGATCCTCAAGCAGACCATTACCAAAATTCAACCGAGCATTGAAAAGCACACTGCGCGGCCGCTTCTTCAAAACCCCCTTGGAACCAAAGCTACCGTTGGAAGAGCAGGAGCTCTCTACAGAGCAGCCATTCATGCGCTCAGCTCGGCTCCCAGGTTTCTCATCCGCCCCTGCTATTTCAGACAAGAGAGGCAGCTGGAGAGGCTCGGATGAGAAGGCCAAGCATCCATGGATTTCTCTGTTGCCGAATTCTGGGGATTTTTGTGGGTTTGATTCGATCTCATTTGCTCTTAGATTTGTATCTACGAGAGCATTGCAGGCTCTTTCCAGAATGGTTTCGAGGTATTTGCTCTGCGCTTCAATCCGCAGCTCGAGACTTCTCTGAACCTGGAGAGATGACATGGTTGCATGAAATTAGCTCTGCAATCATACTGATGAAGGTATTTACATACCTACCATCTAATTCTTATAGATTTACACATCTAGCACCTAAAATTTCTTGATTTTTTACTTTTATACCATGATGTGTTTCATATCATATAATAAATAGCACTGTATTAATTTTTGAAAAATGAAATGCATGTTTTCATGCAGAGGCAAGGTGGCATGGTATGCATGTAAAAATTGAAGTTCAGGTGTTAGATGTGCAAATACATATTCTAAACGCTTTCAGAAATTTTAGCTCATTTAGTTATTTGTGGCTATTGTTCAGCTCTTATTTGCCGAAATATTAAGAAAATACAATTTTGTTTTTTTATATTAAACATAGAAACAAATAAATATATTTAAAATAATTAAAAAAAACTTATAACAAAATTATAATATTTAGATAATCAATATAGATATATAAATTAATAATAAATGTTTAATTATTTAATTACTCACCTATTGAGAGTCAAAATAAGCCAAACATGATAGCATGTGCATGTCTGTGACCAACTCAATTATAAATTCTCCTAAATTTTTATTTGTATTCGGCTCGCTTAACAAACAATTTAAAACAAAACACGAGAATTTAAAGCAATTATTAACATGTGGCAATTGGGAATCTCTTCCTTTTTTTCGGTTTGTTTCTACATGAGCTTTAATGTGTAAGAGCAGGTTCTGAAAAACATTTCTGGAATACAAGCAAATATACAGTTCTGCTGCCTATCGTATTAGGTTGTTTTCAACATTATTGTAGCTATTTAGGGGATATGTTTGATTTGTTGAAAAGAAATACAATGTAAAAGAAATGTAGTGAAAAATAAATACAATGTATTGTGAAAAAAATATTTTTATTTCAATGAATACAATACATATGCAAGATTTAAAATTTTTTGTATTTAATGTAAAACTTATAAGCCATGGCGGGTGGCGGGTGGCAGGTGGTAGGAGGCCGATGACAATGGGAGGTTGTGGTAGCAGGCAGCAAAGGTGATGGGCAAGCATAGCAGGCTGTGGTAGAAACAGTGTACTACTATAAAGAACGAGCACCGACATGACACGATACATGGATATGACATAATTTTAAAAAATAGGACAAGACGCATATTGACACATTTTTATATTTAATAAATTATTAATATAAAATATATTTTTTTTCATTATTCTTTATTAAAGACACCATAAAATAAACTATGCGAGAATAAAATTTAACTTGTATTGTAAAACCTCATGCTTACAAAAATAATTTTCAAAATTTGACATAAAATATGTTTCAGAAAAATTCCTCCAACTTATCTACTAAAATATAAATTATCCTTCAATTACACCTTGTTTATTAATTAAGTTAAAATTTAACTTTTTAAATTAGAATTTGTTTAGATTTATAACTATTTCAACTCATTAAAAAGTAAAAATATATATATATATATTAATTATCAATTACAAAATTAGGAAGGCTTTGACTCCACTTGATTTCGACAAATAGAGACTTCAACGCAAGGATGCATTTAGATCAATTTCAATTAATATCTTTGATTGCTACTCGGGTTGCGACAAATAAGTTTAGGCTTTTGCTTTAGCAGATGCAGGTTCGACTTTGATGAATAAAAAAGAACTCTGACACTTAGTTTTGACGAATGCAGGATGGATCTTTAATGCTCAACTTCAACAAACAAAGAGTGAACTACTTATGCTCGGCTTCAACTTATTTTGGCCCAAAAATTTACATATATTTTATAGTGTCAGAAAAGTATCGAAAAAGTGTTTGTGTCTGAAAACAAGTACGACATATTTTTAGAAATAGTAGTGCTACATAAGCGATATATTTAGAATTCGCCCAAATGCAACAAATTTAAATACATTGAAATTAAACTAGTAAATAAATTCTAATAGACATTAAAATTTTATACAACATTTATATTTTTTCGAGCCAACATCCCTACATTCCTCTACAGTGCATTCCTTATTCCGCTAACCAAACAAGCCCTTCAAAATTTAAACACAAGCAGAGTTGCCAATTGCGATATGTTCCGAGTAAATAATGAACAACGAAGCATGGATCATCGCAACTATCATGCCTACCTCGCGATCTAATTCATTTTAGTATTTATAGCCTTTTTGTCCTTTATTCTTATTTAGAGATGCCTTCATTTTTCAATTATAATTTAAATGAATCTTTTTCTCAACTTCCTAATATATTGTTTTTTTCTACTAAGAAAGATGTTAAGCAGAAAGAATTTGAATTTTTTTTAGTTAAAAACTTTCAAAATTTTTCAATATTACAACAGGAAAAACTAACCTCCAGTTGTTCATGCAACCTTCGCTGAAGTTCCATTTGGACTCTCATTGCCTCATTACACCCACTATCAGTGAAAGAAATATGAGATGTTTTAGATAAGAATTGAATAACGTAAAATAAATTAATAAATAAAAAGAAAGAAACTTAAACATACTCATTAAATTCTTGGGTTGCCTGCGTAGATTTTGCACATGGACTTCCCCGATTTTCCACAACAGCAGAGACTGCAAGTCCTAAGGCAAACAGAATAAAGTTTAGAACTGCATCTTGAAAATTTCAAAGACTTGCATTAAATAGGCATTTAATTAACACAGCGTTTATCATGAGACTCTTTTTTTTTCTTCCGTAAGTCGCACATTTTCCCAATTTATAAAACACATCAAAAAAAAAACATACAATACTATTGTTTAAGAATTGTATTTCTCTTGAGAGTGATGCTAAATTTCCCAAAAAATTCTACATAACATTACTTGGTAACAGTCTAAGCGGCTATCTCGTAATGAATTTAAGTCTGATTTAACTTACATTTTGCTTCACGGAAAAAATAATTTGATCTAGTAGATTCAATTTCTTCCCAGTTTTGCCTTAAATCCTGAATTCACTAAATTCTGTCAAATCAGGATTTATATGATTTAATAAAGCTGTTAAAACAGTTATTGTACTGCCATATATAATTTACATTTTTTTTCTTACTGAGAAACTTCATCATATTTCACTTCATTCATCCCTTGTAACAAAAAGTATTTGCAGGGCTGCAAATCAAATAAGCCAAACCAAGTTTGTGCTTGTTCAAGTTCAAGCTCATTTTATTAAAAGCCTGTTCAAGTTTGACGAGAGCTTGATTCAAAATTTAGGGTTCGAGTTTGTTTATTAAAACCATATTCAATCTCGGATAGAGTTTGATTTGAGCTCAATTCATATAGAAATTATCAGGCTTAATGACAAGCAACTTATTTAACAAAATAAACAAGTCATAATCAAGCTTCATGCGAGGAACTTGTTCGAAAAAAAAAACCTATATCAAATAAAGGTTAATGAACTTAAGAAATAAACAATTAAATAATATTATACATGAACGAGTCTTAATCAAGCCTTGAATAAGCTTCTTAGAAAGCTTATTCATGAGCCTTTACGCAATATTGTTCATAAACATAAATGAATCAAATTAATGATCATGCTTGCTCATTTGGTAATCAATTATTTATTAAAGTGTTTAAGTTTGTTCGATTATCTACTTAAATGATCATAAACGAGCTCTAATCAAACCAATGCACCGGTAGCTTGTCAAACGCTCCGTTCATTTTCAGCCTTATGTATATATTAGTGCAATTTACAATATTCTTCATAATATCTGCCTAAATAAAAATCGTACTATGCTTGGAACTTACTTTTGAATGTTTATTTCTTTTTTTTTTTAATTTTTTTGGAGAGATCAGATCATTATTAGAATGCACTGATGAACGGGGTTGGCTTGTGTTTTTAAGGGCAATCAGATAATTATGAAAATTATTGTATCCTCTGCGCCTTGCATTTGAATGGATGATTTTCAGTTTTTGGTGGTTTAGCAATATAATACATATATCAGTATACATGTCCATAATCTTTATACATATCATCATATATAGCAGAGAGTGCTCTGTATGAATTATTGCTTTGCCCTTTTTAGTATATTTCCAAAACTCCGACACCGAGAACTTCTCTAACTGTCAAACATTCTGGTCCACAACTATCAGAGTAGATTTTGCTAACGAGGTGTCAGATTTCTCCTCAACTTCCTATTGTTTATTTTTTCACATCTACGAAGAGAATCAAAATAAGCTTCTTATTTGGTGTAATTTATCGTCTATTAATTTTGGTTTTTACTAACTTATTCCAGTTTTAGATCAGTAGAGCCTTCCATCGATCACAGTGTTTGCGATCCATCTAGCGATAGCGATACATATAAGTCCTTTGGGAAAAAGATAAGACTACTTTAACATGGAAAAGTAGGTCAAATAAAGTTCTACTAAAAAAGAAAAAATTTAGAAACAAACCATACAATTCTTATGCATTTACATGCTAACACCTAAATTTTGATATTTACGTTAACACCTAAATTTTGATATTTACACTCATAACACATTGGTTATAATAAACCTATGCATGAAAATTTGTATTTAATTTTTAAAAAAGTGGTGGTGATTGTGGTTTTATTTATTTGATGCTAAAGATTTGAGTGGTATGCATGTAAATATGAATGCTTAGGTGTTAAATATGTAAATTGTTGAAATTCAGAATAATGTGAAATACCTTTATTGATATGAAAATGAGTTATAAATAGCTCGTACATGAATCCTAGAATAGGAAAGAAAGGAAAAATAAAATAACAGAAAAGAAAAGATATAACACCTAATATCTCATATTAATTAATTCATAATAATTATTTGGAGAAAAAAGAAAGAACATAAAATTGAAAAGATTGAAATAGGAAAGGAAATAAATCCAATCCAATAAAATAAACCTAAAATAGGAAAGGAAATAAAGTTATATTAGGAAATAAATCTACTCCTCATAACTTTTATAAAAAATAAATTATTTCCTGATATAACTTCTAATACTCCCTCTCAACTTGAAACATGGTTGAAAACCATATTCAATTTGGATTTGAAAATATCAAACAATGGGCGAGGAAGATCCTCTCAAGTAGAACTTGAAATCTTCATCCCGTACTGCGGTTGTATTTGATTGCACTTCTTGCAGTGTCTGTGGGTAGACATAAGACTCTTATAGGTAATACTGCAGGGGAGTTTGCAGGGAAATAGACAACCTGCAGAAAAACTGACCTCTAGTTGACTGCGGTTGTTTTTAACTGCAATTACTACAGTGCTTGTAGGTAGACGAAAGACTCCTATAGATAATGTTGCAGGAGAGTTTGCAGGGAAGTAGACAACCAACGAGAAAATTGACTTCTAGTTGACTGCGGTTGTCATTGACTGTAATTCTTACGGTGTGTAGGGGAAGACTCTTACAGGTAATGTCGCACGGGAGTTTACAAGGACGTAGACAACCTGCAAGAAAAAGCTACAAGGTATGACTTGCAAAGAAAAAAGAAAAAAACTCTGGAGGAGGGTCTGCTATAGGAAAAGCTCCAAAGAAGGGTCTACTGCAGGAAAGATTCCAGAAGAAAGCCTGATACAGGAAAAGCTCCGGAAGAGGGCCTACTGCAGGAAAATTTCGAAGGAGAGCCTGCTGCAGGAAAAAATATTGGAGGATGGTCTGATGCTTGAGATTGCAAGCATACTCTTGTTGTAGATAACATGATGGCGCACTTGCTTGAGATTGCAAGCATATTAGATAGCTCAAACTACTGTACAGTTTCGTCCAATCCATAGCCCATGTTTATGTTTGGGCATCAGGGCCTCCTGCGGAGCTTTTCCTGCAGGAAAGGCTCCGGAGTAGGACCTACTATAGGAAAAATTCCGGAGGGCCTGCTGCAGAGAAAAACATTGGAGGAGGGATTGATGCTTGAGAAAGCAACCATACTCTCGTTGTACATAATAGGATGGCGCACTTGCTTGCGATTGCAAGCATACTGGATAATGAACTACTGTACAGGCGTATTCGTCCAATCTATAGCCCACGCACATGTCCGAGCAGCTGGAATGCGTTTCATCGAAGTAGATGTCGAGACCGCCTCCAATGTCAATCACATGCATCATAGCACCAAGCTTGGCCAGCTTGTAGTAGATCTGGGCAGCCTCGCCAACGCTATCAGCAAGCAGTGCAGTGGATGGAATCTGGAAGCCATATAAGTTTGATGAATACCAGTGCTCCTAGAATTTCGATTCTGTAAAATCTGTAAGATTGACAAGGATCTTTCCATCCTGCCGCCCACATCAAGAACAAGGAAATGGTGAAAGTCGCAATGTCAGAAAGGAGATGAGCTGCGTCTATAAGAATTGTAAGGTTGTTCGTTTTGATGCCTCCAACCACTTCCACACACCATAATATCATGGAAGGAAAAGCTATAAATAGCTTTCTTATGGAAGCTGACCACTCCTTCGCATCATTCGAGTCACCGCCTGAACTAGATAAATCATAGATAAGTCCTCGACATGTTTTTATGTCTGCAGATGTTGTCACTACTGCTTGCAGTGCTTCACCGATTTCAGCGACTGGAGATTGTTGCGAGCTCTATGCTTCCATCCGGAAGGTCCGCAGAGATGTCCATACATATGAGGCTTCCGACAGAGACACGGGGAGAATTCAATTAAAAAAAAGTTAACTCTGCTCCTGCAGGGTGGGCTAAGAGATTCGGACTAAGTTCCAGGAAGCTTGCAAGCAGCGAAAGGTCTGGCTGCAGGAGGAGGAGGTCTGACAAAACTACTCAACACAGAATTTTTTCCTGCAGACAGATGGAGAATGTAGGGGTCCAACATAATTATTTCCTGCATGAAGGGAAATTCGGCAATGGGATGAAAATTCAAGGAAGGAGGCCTCTACAGAGAAGGAAGGAAGTTTTCGACATCTAGAGTTTGCAGGGAGAGGGTTCCAATGGCTAGTTCCTGCAGGAAGGAGTTTCAATGATTAGGGCCTGCATTGAGAGGAAGTTTCCGGTGGAAAAACTGAAAAAGATGAGGCGGAGGAAGGGCGAGCAGCACGACAAAGATTGCCGGCTGCAAAGAATAGGAAGTTTTCGACGGCAGGAAATTTTTTGGTTTATTTTGAAGCTTTAATACTATGTTGAAATTCAGAATAAAGCGGAATACCTTTATTGATATGAAAAAGGGTTATAAGTAACACTTACATGAATCCTAAAATAAGAAAGACAGGAAAAATGACTAAAATCTCCAATTAATCAATTTATAATAATTATTTGGAGATAAACGAGACAACATCAGATAGGAAAGGAAATAAAGTTATATTAAAAATAAATATAATCCTCATAATTTCTAACAAGAATAAATTATTTCATAATATAACTTCTAACGTAAATAAATAAGAATTGTATAATATGTTTGTAAATGCCCCTAAAAAAATAAGTTGAAAGTAAAATTATCTCCTGCAGTCCAAGCAATCATATTATATCCAGACAGATTCAAAAGCAGCATAGTTGGCATGTACTTGGAGAGATGGAGAGGTGCCAAGAGAAATACCATCATTAGGGCTTTCAAGGTCTTTTGATAATTGCTTCCCCATTCTGTATTTCTGTAAAATGAGCCATGTAAAATGTTAAGAAAGATGAAACTTTGTTCCATGCAAACATACATATTTTAATAGTTTCATTTCTACACATAAGAAAAAATATAATGATCTTTTTTAATTAAAAATCCAAAGTTTTCATTCCATAAAAAATTGCCATGTAGCTTTGAAAGGGTTTTAATTTGAGGAAATTTACACACAGTAGCACACAATTCTTATGTATTTACACATCTAAAACCTAAAGTTTGGTATTTACATTTATAACACTTCGGTGTTATAAACCTATGCATGAGGTGTATTTCACTTTTAAGAAGTTTATAATAGTGGTATTTTCAAAGCGATGTTAAAGATTTGAATGTTGTGCATGTAAGTATCAATGTTTAGGTGTTAGATATGTAAATATATAAGAATTGTGTGGTGATAGGAATTTGTATCAATAAACAAGAATGAGTTTTTTAGTTTCCATGCATAAATTGCCAGATCAGACGCAACCTGAAGATGACTCTTCAAATGGTAGAGTGTAAGTCCTTTTACATTCATTATCCTCAGTATGGCCTTTGGGGTTGCTTCTGCAAAAGAAGCCACAAAAAGGTATCAGATACAAAAGCCCAACCTCTCTAGCTTGTAGGGCTGTCAAAACGGCTCGTTGTTCGTGAAC